TCATCTCAGGCCTTAATTGGCAGGTAAGATGGTAAATTTATGCTACTCAATACATAAATAAATTAACCATCAAATCCAAAATATTCAAGTCCAAAAATATTGCAGTCCAAATTATAAAGTCCCAAACTTTTTATTATTATAGTTTTGGACTTTATAATTTGGACTGGAATATTTTGGATTTGATGGTTAATTTATTTATGTATTGAGTAGCATAATTTTGATAATTTATTTTGACAACTTCAGGGGTGAAGGTGAATTTATGCTATTGGGATTATATTTGATTTATTATATTGTTTTTTTTTTTTTGGAGTGGTAATAGTAGTAGTAAGATGGTAAATTTGACAAATTAGTTTATCTTTATAACCTTTAAAACATCCTATTATTGTTCTCAACCATCACAGCATAATGTTTACCTATAGTCTGGTCAGTATATTGGTTTTACTTTTCCTCCTCTCAGTAAAATGGCGAGACCAACATCTACAACAGCGTTTCTCAACCAGGGTTCCACCACGATCTGCCCAATCACTAGCAGATGATGGGTAGATCGCATCCCCACATAGCTGACAGTCAACCTGCAGAGGGAAGCAACTTGCATCACTGCACTGGTCCCAGCTGGCCCTCTCCTCCTGTCTGTCCCAGGTCCTGTGTGTGACACCACTCGGGAGGGACGAGAGAGAGGGAAGGTGGGGACCAGCGCAGCAAATACAATCCAGCAGCTTTCCTGAGCTACTCTGCATGAGGAAACCAGTACAGACCTCAGCACTGTTTCCTCTTGGCATCCTGAACTGTGCTGTGCTCTACCTGCCCCGTAAACTATCTCCTTCTGGCTCCCGTATACTGTTCCCTCCTGGCTCCCCTATGCTGCACCCTCCTGGCCCATTATCCTGTTCCCTCTTGGCCCCTTATCCTATTCCCTCCTGGCCCCTTATCCTGTTCCCTCCTGCTCCCCCCCATACTGTTCCCTCCTGGCTCCCCTATGCTGCTCCCTCCTGGCCCCTTATCCTGCTCCCTCCTGGCCCCTTATCCTGTTCCCTTCTGCCCCCTCCTATACTGTTCCCTCCTGGCTCCCCTATGCAGCTCCCTCCTGGCCCCTTATCCTGTTCCCTCCTGGCCCCCACATACTGTTCCCTCCTGGTTCCCCTTTGCTTTTCCCTCCTGCTCCCCCCAAACTGTTTCTCTCCTGGCCCCCCTGTACTGTGCTGTGCTCTTTTGGCCCCCTCTACTGTTCCCTCCTGCCCCCCCCCCCCCCACCTGTACTGTTCCTTCCTTTCCTGCTCCCCCTGTTCTGGCCCCCCCCCCCTCGTGCTCTGCCCTGCTGACTCCCTGTATACTGCTTATCTCAAGTTTGACCCAGAATTAAACATCTGTTAAAAAGAAAGCCACCACAAGTTGCACATTAAGGAGGTAAGTTTTAATATTTATTCTATTGTTTAATACTCTAAGAATAACTGTTGTTATATCTCCAGCTTGCTGATCACATCAAAGTTCTATGAGCTGTACATACGGAAATTATTTCAGGGGTTCGCCAAGATCTCAGACTTTTTGCCAGAGGTTCCTGGTAGGTAAAAAAGTTGATCTAGAGTTTTGAAACATTTCCACGGTGCAATTTCTGAGAACAACGTTTTTGCAGTGTAACAAAATGACTTTCAGTTTGTAAAACTACTCCACACTGATTTTTTTTTTTTTTTTTCCCAAAACAATTTCCATTTTTTCCAGAAAAAAAAAAACAGGGAAAAATTTTTTTCCCCATAGCTTAAAAATTTCTGGAAATTTTACATCTCTAGTGCTGACACGGCCCCTTTGCACAGCCTATCACTGATAAAAATTAGTGTACTGCTGTTTCTCTCCCCCCCCCCAGATCTCTGAGTTCCTTAGGCAGTTGAGAACAGAGGGCATGAGATCACTTATAAAAAAGGGAAAAAATTTATTTATAATGTTTATTATATCAATACACAAATGTTTTGCCTTTCATTTCTATTTTAAACTGAATGGGTTGTTTTAAAAGGTGAAGGTTAACAATCACTTTAAGCCTGCTGGTCATAGCTCAAAGGTCATGCAATGCATTATGCAACCCCACACCATAATCCCTCCTCCATCAAGCTTTATACTTGGCACAATGTAGTCAGACAAGTAGCATTCTCCTGGCAAACCCAGATACATCCAACGGATTGCCAGACAGAGAAGCGTGATTTGTCACTCTAGCGTATGCGTCTCCATTGCTCTAGAGTCCAGTGGCAGCGTGCTTTACGCCACTGCATCCAATGCTTTGCATTGCACTTGGTGATGTAAGGCTTGGATGCAGCTGCTCGGCCATGGAAACCCATTTCATGAAGCTCGCTACGCACTGTTGTACTAATCTGAAGGTCACACGAAGTTTGGAGGTCTTTAGCTATTGACTCTTCAGACAGTTGCAAACTTCTACGCACTGTGCGCTTCAGCATGCGCTGACCCCGCACTGTTATTTTACGAGGCCTACCACTTCATGGCTGAGTTGCTGTAGTTCCCAGTTGCTTCCACTTTGTTATAATGCCACTAACAGATGACTGTGGAATATTTAGTAGCAAGGAAATTTCACAGATGGACTTATTGCACAGGTGGCAACCTATCACGGTACCACGCTTGAATTCACTGAGCTCCTGAGAGTGACCCATTCTTTCATAAATGTTTGTAGAAGCAGTCTGCATGCCTAGGTGCTTGATTTTATACACCTGTGGCCATGGAGGTGATTGAAACACCTGAATCCAATGAATTGGAAGGCTGGCCCAATACTTTTGGCAATATAGTGTAATTGTTTTCCCTTTTGACAGCATGGAAAACAACCTCAATGATTATTTTAATTGCATCATGTGTAATCTTACATACACAAAAAAGAGTGACCAGAGGCAGGAAAGCAGGTAACACATACAAAAAAATACTATTGTGCAAGAGGACGAAGAAAATGTCCAACATAATCTGTGGTTATTATCAGTTGCCTTTTAATCCACAGTGAAAAGGTTAAGTGGTTTTATCTACGAATCAGAGGTGATCAATAGTTATGCAGAGAACAATGAACAATCTTTCTCACTAAGAAGACACAATCAATTAAATTAACATTAGTGTTGAGAATCTGAAGTGCCATAAGTGCCAAACATTGATGTAGATAGATCGAAGCCATGTATCTCCTTGTGCTTTTTGAAACCACCTTAACTACAAGTCTTCAGCTTCAGCAATCAAAAGCAAGCTGGCCAAGTACTGAAAGCCATGACCTTTGATCAAGATAAAAAAAGCATTAGATTAACTTGTAACACCACTTAAACTGGATAATAACTAATGTATACACATGCATCAGAGCTACAGGAATTTCCACTTTGACCCTGTGAGTGATATGTAGGTGTTAGCACAGAAAATGTGTATTATTTAGCTTGCAGCTCATGGAACTGGTAATTCATATCGCATCATATTGCCTCCTCACTGCCTGTCATATGCCCTTTGAAAAACGATCTGCCATGGATACTGTAAGGGCAAGGCTTCTGTAAACAAGCCCTTAGTGATTTTCCAATAGTTTTGTCTTTTATATATAATTGTGATGCAATACCTATATATTTTGTGGTGTGGTGTGGTGTGGTGTGGTGTGGTGGGCTGGGTTAGGGTGGGAGAAGGCTTACTTTCTATGGTATTTTCTTCCAAAACAACTTATTTTTTATATATTTTATTGGCAAAAAGAGCTAAAATAGAGGACACTAGAATACTTTTTATCCAGATTTGACCAGTCATGGTTTTAAAACAAGTAATGTTGCTATAAATACAGAATAATACATTTTATCCTGCATTTGTGAAGCTAATCACAAATCAAATAATAAAATAAACAAATTGGTATTTTTTTTTTACAGATCAATACAAATGAAAACGTAAAAAGCTTCAGGGCCCATTTACACTTTGACATCCTAGAATGACACCACAAAGCTCCTTATTCACTCCTAGGTAATGCGGCTCCCTCCTCATCACATACCTGATGAAGGGGTCCTGCGAGACTCCGAAACATTGCTTTGCTGTAACTATGTGATCGTTCATTAAAACTTTTGGACCCATATTGGTGATCCTCGGTGTGCTGATGACATTTTCCCTTGCTGATTCTGTTCGGTTCCAGCCGACGGTTGCTGTAGCACCCACTTATACACACAGCCATTTTGAACGCAGGAAATGTGCATTGGGATAGTACACTTCCCTTCTCATTGGCTTACCTTTACAAAGGCTATCCTCCCTCCAGTCAATCATGAATGCTGCTGCCAGGCTCATCCACCTTTCCAACTATTCAGTGTCTGCCACCCCTCTCTGCCAATCCCTCCACTGGCTGCTACTCATCCAACTAATTAAATTCAAAATACTAACAACTTACAAAGCCATCCACAACTCGACCCCCAGCTACATCATTAACATGGTCTCAAAATACCAACCAATTTGCACTCTTTGTTCCTCTCAAGACCTCCTGCTCTCTAGTTCCCTTGTCACCTCTCTGCATGCTCACCCCCAGGACTTCTCCCGAGCCTCTCCCATCCTATGGCATTATTTACCCCAATCTGTCCGACTATCTCCTACTCTGTCCACTTTTAGGCGATCCCTGAAAACCTCTCTCTTCAGAGAAGCCTATTATGCCTCCAGCTGATAACTGTACTTTTATTTTCTCCATCAGCTTATCCCCCACAGTTATTACCTTTTGTATCACTTGACTCTCCCCTTTTAAATTGTAGACTCTGACAGGCAGGGACCTCTGATTCCTCCCATATTGAATTACATTGTAACTGTACTTTCTGCCCTCACACTGTAAAGCGCTGCACAAACTGTTGGTGCTAAATACCATATTTTTTTCGCCATAAGACGCACCTAGGTTTTAGAGGAGAAAAACAAGAAAAAAATATTCTGAACCAATGGACTGCAGTCATAGTAGAGGAGATGACCAGAGACTGCGGACACAGTACAGAAATGACCAGAGACTGCGGACACAGTACAGGAGATGACCAGAGACTGCGGACGTAGTATAGGAGATGACCAGAAACTGCGGACATAGTACAGGAGATGACCAGAGACATCGGACACAGTACAGAAGATGACCAGAGACTGTGGACACAGTACAGGAGATGACCAGAGACTGTGAACGTAGTACAGGAGATGACCAGAAACTGCGGGCATAGTACAGGGGATGACCAGAGACATCGGACACAGTACAGGAGATGACCAGAGATTGCGGACGTAGTACAGGGGATGACCAGAGACTGCGGACGTAGTACAGGGGATGACCAGAGGGGATGACCTGCGGACGTAGTACAGGGGATGACCAGAGTCTGTGGACACAGTACAGGAGATGGCCAGAGACTGCGGACACAGTACAGGAGATGACCAGAGACTGCGGACACAGTACAGGAGATGGCCAGAGACTGCGGACACAGTACAGGAGGAGATGGCCAAAGACTGCGGACATAGTACAGGAGATGACCAGAGACTGCAGACAGTACAGGAGATGACCAGAGACTGCAGACAACACAGGAGATGACCAGAGACTGCGGACACAGTACAGGAGATGACCAGAGACTGCAGACAGTACAGGGGATGACCAGAGACTGCAGACAGTACAGGGGATGACCAGAGACTGCAGACAGCACAGGAGATGACCAGAGACTGCAGACAGCACAGGAGATGACCAGAGACTGCAGACAGTACAAGAGATGACCAGAGACTGCAGACAGTACAGGGGATGACCAGAGACTGCAGACAGTACAGGGGATGACCAGAGACTGCAGACAGTACAGGGGATGACCAGAGACTGCAGACAGTACAGGGGATGACCAAGAGACTGCAGACAGTACAGGGGATGATCAGAGACTGCAGACAGTACAGGGGATGACCAGAGACTGCAGACAGTACAGGGGATGACCAAGAGACTGCAGACAGTACAGGGGATGACCAAGAGACTGCAGACAGTACAGGGGATGACCAGAGACTGCGGACGTAGTACAGGAGATGATGACCAGAGACTGCGGACGTAGTACAGGAGATGATGACCAGAGACTGCGGACAGTACAGGGGATGACCAGGGACTGCAGACAGTACAGGGGATGACCAGAGACTGCAGACAGTACAGGGGATGACCAGAGACTGCAGACAGTTACTGTAACACTGGAAAGGTGTGAATGGGGCCCTAGGGCTGCTCAAAACACCAAAACACACCAAAAAGGGTTCATACAGTATTTTTTGGCAGATTGCAGAATAGCTATTATTCAGAAAAAATGGCACCGCATTGCACCTATGCCTGTAATATGCACTATCATGTGCTGTGGTATTGTGTTGTGGTATTGCACATTATAGCTGTGCATTTCTGTGAATGGGCCCTTAGTGAAGGGGTGGTAAAAAAATAAAAAAAAAAAAGGTACAAAAGTGCTAAAAATAGTAGGATAGGTATAAATTAGGGGCCATTGAAATAAGTCAGTTAGTACTTAAATAAGAAAACTTTTTATTTAAACAAAAAACACTTTCCCACCCTTATGCTGGCCATAAGTGATTCGAAAGTCCAGTCCTTGCAAAACCGGCCACGTTTTGATCATCTATGAATCTATGGCCATTCCTGTTTGAGAGGACTCGATCTAATGATTGACTCCTCTGAAATGGGGCTGTTGATTAATTTTTGTTTGATCAGTGCTGCAACTAATCAACAAGTCATCTATGACCAGCTTTAGCTGCACCTAACATTACAATCAAATGATATAATAGGACTGCGTTGATGCTGTTGCACTGCAGCAATGCACACATTATGCACATTGATGAGCTGCACTGCCATTCATTCTTAAAATGTTACTAAACCCACAACAGTAAATTCAGTCTGTATATGCAGTGAAGCATGCTTGATGTACTCACTGTGGAACCTAAGGGGTTAATCCTCTGCATTGTGTAAAAAGGATGTTTGATCCTGACTTCTCTGGTCATCCCCTTCTCCCAGTGTCTTCTCCCAGTTATCTCTGAAAAGACATATTGTGTGGAGACACTCTAATCAAACAATTGTGTGGAGACACTCTGTACATGTTCTGCACATGCTCAGTTTGGTGTGTGTTGCTAGAGAGGTTTTTTTTCCGTCAGAGAATCCATGTGATCAGCACAGGGCCAATCAGCACCATCCAGACAGAGGCCAGAGGTTCTGCATCCTCCTAGAGCACAAAAAAACTCCTCCTACAAGCTTTAACCAGTGCTTGGCTGGACACTGATAGAAGTCACAAGACTGCTCTAACTGCTGATGAGAAAAGGTATTTAGCAATTTGTATTTACTAAAATAATTGCATTTCCATGTTCTGTGTACTGTGGGAGACCAGATATAGTGAATGCGGGGTCCGGGGTTTAGTAACATTTTAATGACACCCCATTACACCTTACCAATGCACCTAATTGCACCACAACAAACGCTAATACACCACTGTGCATGTGGTTGTGGTCCCTGTATTAGGAAAAATAGTGCATGCACCTTTTTTGGTGTGTTTTGGCACATTGGGCAGCCCCTTTAAATGATGTTAACACACATGCATTAACTCACTGCAACAGCGTGAAGCCAACTTAAGCCTGAAATCCTGGTGATCCTGTCATGAAAGACCTTGTTCAGGCACTTCCTGTAATGGGGTGACAACAGTCATTTTCAAGAAGCTTAACCAAAGCAGTGATGTCATACAAGAAAGAGTGCATTTGGACAGGAAATCTCTGAATTTGGTTTTGCTCAGCAGGAGATCAGTCTGCTGATCCCCTGCTGAGTGGAGCAGAGCTGTCGGATGACAGGTCCATGTCCGCTCTCCTTATGCAGAGCAGACATGGACACAGCCTGCTCTACCCTATGGGCAGTTGGATGTAAATGGACTGGCTGTCTGTTTACATGAGACTGCCCTCCCAGCCAGCCAAATGGAAAGAAACGGATCCCCCTTCTGTTTTTTTTTTTTTTGTTGGATTAGAGGTAGCTGGGTGTAAATGGACACAAGTCTGCTTACATGCGACTACCCATAAAGGAGAATGTAGACAGTCACAAATGTACAACCAAAAATTCCCCACCAAACCAACCCCTGCAGTTCAAAGCTGGCCCCTCCCCCCATTAGAGTGCTCATCCCCAACCCCCCCTCCATGACAGAGCTCTAACCTCAAATCCCCCCCTCCCCAATAAAGAGTTCTCCCCACAATGCTGACCTCTGCCTCTAAAATTGCTATTCGTCTGACTTCCATGATGTACAACTGGTGTCAAAACATTTTGAATTATTAGGATGGAATCAAACATACAAATTCATGCTGGTTCTGGGTCAGTACTGAAGCCAGTGATGGCCATCAAACTAGCATTCTCAGGTAGAGCTCAGTAATGGCAGACAACATGTTTCTCTTCATGTAAGCATACTTTAAAGTGTTACTAAACTACAACAGTAAAATCAGTCTGTATATGCAGTAAAGTATGCTTGTTATACTCACTGTGGAACTTAAGGGGTTAATTCTCTGTATTGTATTGTGTAAAAAGGCTGTTTGATCCTGTCTTCTCTGATCCTCCCCTTCTTCTACCATCCCCAATACATCTGCCATAGTACAAAGCCCTAGGAGACACTCTGCACATGCTCAGTTTAGTGTGTATTGCTAGAGAGTTTTTTTTTTTCTTGGGAGAGTACATGTGATCAGCACAGGACCAGTCAGCACCAGGGGTGGACTGACAACTCATGGGGCCCCCGGGCAATAGGGGATCATGTCCTTGCCCAAACTCAAAAAAGCCTATGAAAAAGGCACCAGGGGCATCTCATGGGGCCCCCTACTGACCCCGGGCCCTCGGGCAGTGCCCGAGTTTCCAAATGGTCAGTCTGCCCCTGGTCAGCACTGTCCAGGCAGAAGGTCAGGGGTTATGCAGCCTCATAGGACAGTTAGAGAAGAATGAAAACTTCTGCTACAAGATTAACCAATGCTCAGCTGGACACTGATAGAAGCCACAAGACTGCTATATACTGCTGATGAGATAAAGTATTTAGCAGTTTATATTTACTAAAATAATTTCATTTCCATGTTGTGTGTACTGTGGGAGACCAGATATAGTGAATGCAGGGACCTGGGTTTAGTTTAACTGAAGACTTCAAAAGATATTATTAGTAGAAAGTGAGAAAATGTATGATGATGTGCTCTTGCAGCATGTACAGCGCTGAGCGAACTGTTGGCGCTTTATAAATACTGTATAATAATAATAATAATACAATATGGGCCAGCGTTTACTCACAAAAAAACCCATAAAAAAATGTGACTGTTGCCTTTTGTCCTACACTGTCATTACAAAATATTTCTGTTTTAATTATTTCCAAAAGACTCACAAGCAACAATAAGCGCTCTAGTAGAGCATCAATTTCCTCTTTGTCGCCTTTATTGATCTGTAATCACCCTGGTCATACCTGTATACCCAGTTTGTAAAGCTCCAGGCTACAACACCCATGAACTTACCTTGAAAAGACATTCCTTAGACATCTACCCCCAGCCACAAATGACTCTGACCTCTGACAGTGACCAGTCATTGCACAGTTAGCAAAGGCTCCAGACTAAAATGTAGGCTTTCACCGTGACATGTAACATTTCACAGTTATAATCTGACACCTATCAGATCTTGGGCATTTTGATATGTGACAATGAAGATCAAGTCGTAATCCCGAGATGGGTGTCGGCAGCAGAAACTCCTGGCTGATTATATTTGTACATCTTGTGATTGGCTTGGATGGATTTTTCAGATAATCTCTCTTGTCTGCTTAGACATAGAACTAGTGCCAGGATTGTCTGTGAAGGTTCTCATTTACCATGGTATATCTAGTACTAGTTCAAGTGTATTCTCTGTATGAAGGTAAAGAACCTTCTGTGTGCAGCAGTGCCCCCAGCCCCTTCAATACCTACCTGAGCCTCATCAGGATCCATCGATGTGCACAACAGCCATAATTTATTCAGTATCAGACACTTTCAATTGCGGCACCAAAATCAGCTGGCACACTAATAATGCCAAAAAATTAATGATTTGAGGATTGACACGAATTTCGTTCAGTTTTCGACTCATCTATAGCCGGCTTTAGTCACTTTCAGCTGGACTTGTTCTGTAAATTTAAAGGTGTTTAGTAGCTTATCCATGTCACGTTACTTCTAAGGAAAATGGCTTGGATATTTAGACTTCCAAAGTCTAAATGTGTGTTATCTTAATGCATTCTCTGCATTAAAGTGTTACTAAATCCACAACAGTAAAATCAGTCTGTATACGCAGTAAAGCATGCTTATTATACTCATTGTGGAACCTAAGGGGCTAATCCTCTGCATTGTATAAAAAAGGCTGTTTGATGCTGGCTCCTCTGATCATCCTCTTCTCCCAGTGTCCCTCTCTTATCTCCTGACAAGACATATTGTGTGGAGACACTCTGCACATGCTCAGTTTGGTGTGTATTGCTAGAGAGGTTTTTTTTTTTCCTTGGAGAGTGCATGTGATCAGCACAGGGCCAATCAGCATTGTCTAAACAGAGGTCAGGGGTTCTGCATCCTCCTAGAGCAGAATTAAAACTTCTCCTACAAGCTTTAACTAGTGCTCGGCTGGACACTGATAAAAGTCACAAGACTGCTCTAACTGCTGATGAGAAAAGGTATTTAGCTGTTTATATTTACTAAAATAATTGAATTTGCATGTTCTGTGTACTGTGGGAGACCAGATATAGTGTATACAGGGTCTTGGGTTTAGTAACACTTTAAGGTAAAAATGTCCCCACTGCCTGCCTTCCCCTCCATCCTCAGACATTTACCTGGCTCCTGTCACCTCTCCAGCGCTATATACAGCTGCAGCACCACTCACTTAACTTCCAGCTTTCACAGGAGAAACTGAGGGCAGGGGAGCCATAGGCTTCTACTGCTGTCAGTTAAACTCCTGTGGGAATGGAGAGGGGGCGTGGCTTACTGGCGCTATGTGTGTCTACGCATACACACACAGCCTTGCTCAGGCAGGATGAGCATGCTCAGGTGCCTCCTTAGCACTAAGCTTGCTACAGCAGGTCCCCCAGAGGATGAAGAAGCTGACAGTGTTGGCAGGGGGTGTGCTAGAAGAGGGAAGTAAGTGACCTTTTTGTGCAATACCATCGCACAGATTAGGTAAATAT